GCGAAGGAAAATAATAAAACTGTCGAAAATCCGCACAACGTATTCTAGAAGGAAACGCGGAAGGGGCGAGGGATCACTGTAACTGCTTGATGCTAAGAGCATGTACTGAAAATTGGGTCATGGCAGGAATCTTCGAACAGATAACGAAGACACCCACTTTCGGACCCCTGTACAGCGCCAACATCGGTGGAAAGAGGAGAAAATCTACCCAATCCCATGAACGCGGCCACAGTCATCAATCATCAATGGGTAGCTATTTGGGGCAAGTGTTACCTCCCACATCTGATCATTCCCTATATCCTAGCACCCACCCAGGGCCGAATTCGAAGGCAATTATGAAATCATCTAAAGAAGCGTTTTATTAAAAACTTGGAAGGCGAATATCAGTTATTTTGTAATGCCTAAAATCCCGCTTCCCAGCTGGGGACTGTTTGGAAGAGCCTGTAAGTTCATGTCTGGAAGAACGTTAAGTATTCTGCGTGCTAAGAATTCTAAAGCAGCAAATGATTACAGTTGATCTCAAAAAATATCTTGAAATTTAAACAAATGAAAAACATTTTTACATTTTTTTACTAGCACGGGTTTGAGATAGGCTTTTAACGATATCATTCATGTTGTCAGTTATGATTTAGGTTCAACGGGCCTCTGGGAGAACTATTCATTCATCTCATTTTTTCAAGACCATTTGTTCGGAGAGAAGAACATTGTATTGTGACGTATTTCTTCGCTCAATATTTTAGTTATTTCATAGTTTGTGCGAAAACAGGGGGTATAAAGTTTACCTTTATATATTTCCCATTGTCGCGACAAGTATGAAGGTATATTTTACCAGAGGTCCATTAAAAAAACTAACGGAGTGGAAAATCACGCCTACTTTTAGGCTCTATGTGTTGACTGAACTGTTCAGTTAGGGGTGAACGGGCGAGATGCGATAATAATGAACGCAAGACTGAAGTGAACAGTCAAGGGATCTTCAAGAAGCCATGGTAGTGACCAGAGGCATCACTCTGGCGCAAAATGAAAACGAGAAAAACAGTATTCAAGAGGTCTTCGCATTGAAAAATTTGAAGAGATTGTTAAATGACTTCAGAAAGCTATAACTGGTAATTGCAAATCAAGGGCTTCTGATGCCCAACGGTTTTGATTATTATTCCTAAACTGAAAGTATGCAGTAGGGACATGATTACATCGGATACTTTCAAAAGATCACTCTAAAGGGGCGAGGGTGCCACTACGTATGACCTACCTCAAGCAAGAGATGATACTTGAGAACCCGTTGTATTGGAACGGCCAGCAATTCCGTGAGGTGAAACTTGCTATAGTTCTCAGATTGCGATTGGCAAATCTAAAGGTGAACAGGAAAACAAAGTAAACTCAGGGCAAATGGATTAAGTCAACGAACACACTGATTGCAAAAAATAAAAAGGCATATGCGGGCGTTTTACAAAAAGTAGCCACTTAAATTAAGTACTCGGGGAGTTGGACTCCTCGAAGTGTACCAGTTCATTGTCAAAGAAAATTCATCAGTGTGACCAGAAAAAGAGCGCAATGTGCTCGGTCGAATATATGACGACGCAACTAAATTCAACGCAGCAAAGAGATCCCAGATATTGCACTTAAAACTGTCTTTATATTAGCAGGATCATTTTTGTGACCAAGTAACTTAATATATTTGGAAATTATGGTGCTCCCCTTTGGGTCAGGGATTATTATGACATAACAGCTTCCAGGAAGAGCTGGGCACACATTTATTGACAAAGAATGAACAGCTTTTTATTAATTATGCGCCGGTTCGACCGTCAGATAGGACGGTACCCACCTGATCGCATGGAGTGCGTGCAGGACCGCTGACTTGCACGTTAATTAGTTTATAGTGAGACGAAATTGTACTGTATCTATTACACTATCACCATCTCCACCCACTTTGGGCTGACGGCAAGACAATGTCAAGACGGCAGGGGTGGAAGAGGAACTTTTTAAGTTCATCAAGCTGAAAGACTTACAAAAGATGGAGCACCCGAGTGCGAAATGAGAGATGACCATTCAGCTTCGTTCAACAGCAAAATTATCTTAGCGACAACAGTTTAGTGACCTCCTCTACCACTTTAATGGTCTTTGCGACGTTTGGTTGGAGAAAAAATAAATATTACAATATTACAATAGAAAAATACATTTTTAGAACAACTACGCCCGAAACGTCTACATTTGCGTATGTGATTAAGTAGGTGCCACTCGGTTTCTAACTGCAGCACTAAAGGCGTTGGGTGGGTATTCGTCTTACTTTTATGATGACGAGTTATTGGGTCTAGTTTATTGTTCTTAAAAAATCCAACTCAAGGTGGGGATATTTTCATATCGCAAAGAGATGCCCTAAGGCAATAAGACTGCACGTTGGACGGGTTTTGATTAAAAAAAATTATTATGAAAGGGGAAGATAAACACAAGGAAGGCCGCAATCGCCGATTTTCCTAATATTTCAGAAATGCACAGCGAATTATTTTATACAAACCAAGAGCATATATAGGTGAAAGGTGTCTATGCTGACTTAGCATCGCTATAAAAAGGTCACATGTAAATAATAAAAGTGGATAAAGCGTGAAGTTGACCGGGAAAACCATTAAGAGAAAGCATGTTTTGCAATGAACTTGAATAAACATAACGAGCAGTAAAACTCTTAAGGTGTTAAAAGCCTAACAACCTCGATCTTCGTTTTCTTTTCGACATCATTCCTGAGAATCTCCGTGACGAGAGTCTGAGCCTTTTGTAGATGTCCACAATATTCTCCGTAGATGAGTAATTTGTCACGATCCCTGATAAACACCTCACCAAGCCTCAGAAAGTTATGGGTTGACGAAGTGGCCAGATTTAGATTGGATAGAAGATCTCTGTGAATTGTGTGGAGCTCCTATGGGGACCGCATAATATAAATTGTTTAATGAAAATTTCGCGCGAATTGAAGTCAACAGACTTCCCACAAAAGCTTATTGAAAATGAAAAGGACAATTCGTGAGACAGACGCTTTTACAGTCTATGTGGATATAATCGACGAGGCCATGAAATTCCAAAAATATATGTATGTAAGATGTCAGTCGAAGTCTTGCACTAAGTACATGGTCGCCTTTATGAGCAAAAGAAGGGTTAGTGAAATTCAAGAATGAGGGGCTCAGATATTCATGCTTATCAGAGGCTATCAGTGCCTAACAAACATTTTCCCAAAAGCACAAAACGTAAGTAGGGACAAGAGAACAAATGGGATTACCTCAATGTACTTAAATATTTCGTCGATCTCCTGCGCTGAAAGAACCCTCATGAGAGGATATTTGTATTTCTAGGAAATTATTTGAAGAAAAACATGATTTTTACTTCAAGAAGCATTTTTAAAGAATCCACATAGTTCTTCTCAGTGCTGACTATTTCGCGGATACAACAGGCTCGAGGCGTAGATGCTTCCTCTTCTGCTGCTGACGCTTGGGAAATTTTCTTCCCCCCGTGGACAATTGTGTCGTATATCATTTCTTTAGTAGACTCGTCAATGTCTGCATAGTGCGACTTGGCTTCTATTTCCATTTCATCCCTTTCAGATGTGGATGTTTAAAAAGGCCTATGTAAAACTTACATGCTGGCTGCGATCTCCTCGAGGTTGTTGTAGTATTCGTGAGGCGCCTGAAGATCGACATCAGCCGATGGAAATCCCCTATATCATTGTAAGATAGACAAGTAAAAGACGTACGGAATTCCAGTTTTCTGAGCCCGGGGGCAGAAGGAAAGCACGGACAACAACTCGATAACCTTCCCAAAATTTTTTGCTTGGTATAAATCAGGCGGTTCGATCAAATATTTGCTAGCAATGTCAAATTCGTCGCAGCAGAGATGCGTAAATAAACGGATGTTTTGACAGCAAAGGAATTGGGACTGCTGTGGTCTTGGACTGAAGTCTTTCATCGTCAGCGGATCTACTTCGCCGTCACTTAGATTGGACAATAAATGACACAGAGCGACGCCATTCATAAGGGCTTGCAAAAGAATGAGAGCATTTGCGTCAGGCAATAACGCTGGATGATCAGCCGGGAGGACACGACAGCGCAAAAGCCATTCTGCGCACTGACGCCAAACATCATCCTCGTTTTTGTGACTGACACTCTCCAAACCGAGCAGCTTTTCGTTTAAGTCTGATGAAACAGCAGCCTCGAGCATATTTGTACAAAGAATCCGAAAGAGATCCTCGTCGAGGGTTTAAATATTAGCTGCTCCGCATAAAAATATTAAAGCACTCAACAAAACTAACACGAGGGTTTGAATGAGCGCGTTGCAACTTTCTAGGCTACGCCAATTAATGAATAACCGTTCGCGTAATCGTAGTTCAACGGTAGAATTATTATTTAGTCAGTTTCCCCATTTATTAGGATCCACTTTTTCATTCCTGTTTACATATAAGAGACGGAAAATGTCTTGAACAGCGGCATTTAACATGTGACCAAACCTTCCGAAAATAGTTCAAGTAAACAGGAGATCAGGAAGACGTGGGCCTGTTGGAAGCACAGATAGCCTTGTTGAAGACCGGCTGTGAGTATGCAGCTCGGGAGGCTGACAGTGTAGATGATCCCAAACAGCGATTCAAACGTTAGAAGTATTGGTACGAGTATGGGACACATGAAAACGTGGAAGAGGGAGAATTGAATAAAGTTTATATAGAGAAGGAACCGGAAGGGTGGCGGCCAGTTCGGGACCCGAATGTTCTCGTTGGATGGTGTTGTTTTGAAAACATGCAAAAGGCTGAACATACATCGCTTGTAAATCCACTTTGGTAAGGAAAAGGCAAGGTCGGCGAGCAAGTGTAGGAAATCATCACGCGCCGGCAGCAATACGGTTTATTACGTGGGTGCAGCACAGTGTGGAGGAAGGCATATTTTGCGGCCTGGGATTGGATGGGTGTTAGGGTAGGATACCAACATAACACTTGGTTATGGCATTTTCCAAGAGATCGTGAGGCCGCGTAAAAGCTAGGAGGGCTGATGATAAGTAGTCGTAAGGTACTTAATGCACTGGGTTGATTTACTTCCTATAACCAACGTATGAGAACGCAGGACCGCGTGCTGGGTAACTTGCTGAAGCCTATTGTTTTAAAATAAAACGCGGGCCGTCCGCTGACGGCCGAATGAATGGTCGCTCTAGATCGGCGAATGAGTCAGTTGGGCCTGATAAATATGGCTATAAGAATGCAAGTGATTGCAGGGATTGTGACCTGCAAGTGACCTGTACGCTTGGGCTGCCGAGTGTTTTAGTCACAGTATGCCACCTGATGAAAAGAAAGACCCTCTATGTGGCAAGGTTTGCGTTGGCCGGTGATGGAGCTCACTGACACCTGGTTGTGTGTGTCCACAGCTGGCCATGATGGTCAGATCCAACAAGGGACCAAAGGGCTTCATTTTGGGAAACCATGTGTAATGACTCGACCAGACCGCAACTTCTCCTAAGACGAATGTAAGTGGACAGATGAATGCGGGATATGTCGTCTCTGTACACGGGTATAGCTGACCGTGTCCCTGATTCATCGGTGGATGATAAGAGGTAATACGATTAGCGTAAAAGACCATTGTTTGACACGGTTGGTCTGGTTGACTATTCGAAAGCAACCGTATGGGGACGGTGGCGGGTAGAAGTGAGAAGAAGGAAAACAATGTCATGAGGTAACTGACGGAGGGGTAGGTGGGTCTTATATGGCTGAGATTTGTTGAAAACTTTGATCTGGATGCAATAGAATGCTGGCAACGCTGTTTCCCTATCCGTGGGCACGATGATTGACGAAGGGGAAACAGTACGGTGAAGGCGAAATGGAATTTCGTGAGGAGCCTGCTCAGTGATACCAAAACTCTGTGCGTTCGAGCACACATAATGGAAACCACCTTCCAATGGGTAACCCGACGTGATCTAACACGTAAATTTCTGGTAGGGCTGAGAAACGTCGTGACGAAATTCCAACTCGGCTTAGTCGTATTGTTTTTTCCTGTGTCACTCATCGTGTTCAGGGATAGAGAGAAAAAGCTGCCGGCACCCTGTCACGAATCCGGGTGTTTTTTTTCTAATAAATCTCGACCGTACGAGCGCAGATCAAACCCCAATCAATTTACTTGGAGCATTTATAGGAGTCTGCCGCCTACCTCAACTAATAATAATAATTAGTATATTTAAGGCCCAAGGGGCCCCGTTGTTACAAACTTAGTGCTATCGTGAAAATAA